TGTGAGCGTTTACAGCGAGCGCTACCTAACCATCTGTGCTACCACGGCTCGACACTTAAATCTGTTCTCGATTATAACATACCATGAAAGAAATTTAGAAACTGTAATTACGGATTCACTTTGCTTTGTTAACTATTTAAATATAGACGCTTCACCAGATTTATGTTAGTGTCACAAGTCACAACTTTAAATAGTCACATAGGCCCTAATACTTTTGCTCTACATAGGAATTTTACATTGCATAGGGTAAACTGTGGAGTAGATACATATATAATTTTTAATAGAGTCGTAAAGAGTATTCCTCTGAAGACCACTGTAAAATTTTCACTTAACATTTCCATAAATATTTTTAATTTTTCAAACATGCATGTCAAAAAAATAACGAAATATGAAAGTTACAAGTCCACTTTATCATTTTCGGTGGAAACTAAATACAAGGTGTGCTCAGTTATATTTCGATCTTCTAAGACATTTGTTTTATTTATAATGGTAACCTAAAACATTCAAGCGTTTCACCGTCTCTCCTTAGAAGTACTTGAAGAGAAGTCGGTAATTTAAAAAAGTGACTTTCATGTATTATTTATAATCTATATTAAATAAAAAAGTTTCTGTTTCTGTTTCAAAGTACTCCAATCCAATCCTCCAAGTATGTCAATTTTGATTTAAAACCAAATAACAATCACCACTTTATATAACTATTATACTCCCGTACAGAATATCTTTCTTTTTTAATATTGTTTTCTTATATAATTCAATTCTTGAATAATATTGATAATTATATAGGTATTCTCCTGTTCCATTACAAAGAGGTATAGAAGGATCAGTGTGAAGTAAACCTAAACTAAATGGGGCTATCCTTTAAGAGATTCATCTTTTATAAAACACAATATCATATTTTGCAAAAAATACTTACTTTACTCAAATAAAATTTATCCGATCACCAATAGAGTTGCGTGTTAAATAAAAACTATGAGACAATTTTAATATACATAGCTTATCCTTTATTTTCTTTTAAATTCACATCAAATTTTTAGCTTCAACAGTGCACACCTTTGACGTTGTTGCCCTTCGTCTATCCTGTATATTGCGTCTGATGTTAAAGAGATCGCTATACCGCCATCTATCGGAAAGTTTTTCTAACATTTCCCACAGTCGCCACTTATTTATAGTACTTAGTTACATTTAGTATGACTATTATAAGACGAAATGAGGTGATAATATTTCTTACGCCGCTGGTAACCAGCACCACACGTATATTAATTATATTACTATCACTCTATTATTGTTATATGGTATTAAGGTTTAAGAGATTATTAAAGTAAATAATGTGCTCCTTTATTTTAATTAAGGTTCGAATTGTTCTACCTAATAGAATTAATCAATAAATATTGCTAAACAAAATATATTGCTTATTTGTCAAATATGGGCGTAATGGTGAAAACATTTGGTTCTCATCTCCGTCTGTGACCTGATTATTTGTATTAGAAATAGAAACCATACACTTTATAAATAATGAAGTAAGAATATTTATGTTACCGGAGCTTATGGTCATCTTACTTGAAATTGAGGTATTCTTCATCTAAGAGCTGGTGAGGTGATGTTGACATTTCCGGCGGAAAGCTTATGGAAAATAGGGAAACTTATTAGTACATTCAGATCAGCCTAGGCTAACACAGCACTCTATTTTTCCTCCATCTCCTCTTCAGTACCATAACAGAATAATACTGGATATGGGCATCTCCCATAGTACATAGGATTTGTCATAATTGCTTTTAAATTTAGATATTAATCAATCTACCAGACAGAAATATTGCAGGTAGATTGAATAATAATATAATAATAAATACTCTGATAATACGATAATATAATATGATAATAACGAATAATATATATATAATTATATATATATATATAATGATAAATTAAACCCTTTATCTTCTCATATTTTACATCATATATATATATATATATATATATATATATATAACAGTGTTTCTGGTCACGACCTAGCGATAATTTAAGCTTACAAAATATACCTAATTTCATCGACGAAAACACCCATATATTGGGGTCTACGCCCCCTCCTGTCGGAATGACCGCCATTTAATTTTTTTTTTATTCTTGTAGATACCTCTGCCAAAAGATGCTGATTTCTCCGGACAGGAAGGTCCTACAGATGTAAAAAGGTAAAAACAGCATCTATCAAATAAAAATAAAAATCATGGAAAGTTTTCCTTACAAAATATCTTAAAACATTTACAATGCTAATTTAAGTGAAAAAAATTGACTATTTCTTTTATTTTTCTTAACATACTTCAAAAACTAGCACATTGATACTAATTTTTTTAATACTGTACTAATACTTAAGGATATTACTTACAAATTGACATTAAAATTATTGTTCTTAATTGCATAACTCGAGAGTTAGGGCTGTTTGAATATGAACCCTTTTGCGACGATCCCAAACCCATGTAGAGCTACCTGCTATATTGAATAGGGTTTATGTGACAAGGACGGAAAATGATTATTAGTCGATTTGTCAGTCGACAAACTTTTGTTGACATTCACTTAAGATTGTCGCAATATGGCATCCACAGGCCGCCAAATGAACGCTCCCGCATAGTGTCAGTGCAAGCAGAAGAAGAAGTTCTTCAATTAATTTACCGAGATCCCAGGTTCAGTGTAAGGCGAATAGCAATGATGCTGCATTTGTCAAAATGGGTTGTGTGGAAAATTTTAAAACGCGAAGGCATGCATTCGTACCATTTTCGTCGCGTACAAGATATTCGAGAGCCAGACTATGCTGTGCGAGCCACTTTTTACTCGTGGCTCAACGGTTTTTAAAAAACATTTTGTAAAAAAATCATGTGGACCGATGAGGCGACTTTTACAAGAGCTGGTATTATAAACCATAGAAACCAGCATTTATGGATGCAAGAAAATCCAAATGCAGTAAGGCCCAGTAAATTTCAACATGAATTTTCAGTAAATGTGTGGGCGGCTATGATTGATGACAAATTAATTGGACCAATTGAATTACCAAATACAATGAATGGCCTAAGATTTTTAGATTTTCTAAGGAACACATTTAGAGAAATCATGGAGGAATTACCAGTGATCAACCGAAGGCGCATGTGGCTACAGTTGGACGGTGCACCAGCTCACTACGCACGTGCGAATTTTCATTAAGAAAAGCTCTCACAAGAGCTTTTCTTAATGAAAATTATTCACCATGGATCGTGGTGGAAGGGTATCTTGGCCACCTCGCTCTCCGGATTTAACACCTCTGGATTATTTTTTATGGGGATGGATGAAGCAGAGGGTTTATGCTACAGTCCCAAATAGCAGACAAGAACTGCTCGACAAAATAATGACGATTGCGGATGACATAAGATCCGACATAGTCTTAATATCAAGGGCCACACAACAAATGGCTGTAAGGTTAGTAGCCTGTCTACAGAATAGAGGTGGACATTTTGAACAATTATTAAATTAATAATAGTACTTAATGCCATTAAAAGTTTCTTAAAAGTTATAGTGTATTTTTATTTAATCCATTATCGAAAATTAATAGCGCTCATATGAGGCTCTACATACATGACCCTCGCAGAAGGGTCATATTCAAACAGCCCTAACTCTCGAGTTATGCACTTAAGAACAATAATTTTAATGTCAATTTGTAAGTAATATCCTTAAGTATTAGGACAGTATTAAAAAATTTAGTATCAATGTGCTAGTTTTTGAAATATGTTAAGAAAAATAAAAAAAAATAGTCAATTTTTTTTACTTAAATTAGCATTGTAAATGTTTTAAGATATTTTGTAGGGAAAACTTTCCGTGATGTTTATTTTTATTTGATAGATGCTATTTTTACCTTTTTAAATAACATTTTTTTACATCTGTAGGACCTCTCTGTCCAGAGAAATCTGCATCTTTTGGCAGAGGTATCTACAAGAATAAAAAAAAATTAAATGGCGGCCATTCCGACAGGGAGGGGGCGTAGACCCCTATATATGGGTGTTTTCGTCGATGAAATTAGGTATATTTTGTAACTTTAAATTATCGCTAGGTCGTGATCAGACACACTGTATATATAGAGAGAGAGAGAGATAGATAATTGTACTGCCAAATATCAAGGGCAAGAAAAATTTTCAGGGTTTTCAGTAGAGAAGTATTTTCCGCACCAGTGATAAAAATGACGCTTAATAAGTATTATTTGACTAATAATCAATATTAAATAAAAATATTTTAATCCGTATATAACTGTAATAATTAGTTGCATTATTAGCCAAATATCGGAGGCAAACAAGTTTTTCGGGGTTTTACCCAAAGTCTCCTTTGGCTATCACACTATATACGTAAGTCCTATTATCTCAGAATTATTTTAAAATTAGAATTAATTAAGTTTTTGGGGTAATTAAAACAAGTTTCCTAAATATATTATTAACAGAGCTACTATTAAAGAAATCATTAACATTATTTAGCAGCAATTAAAACTCTGGAAACTTTCAAGGAAATCGTAATATAGTTTTTACAATATGGAAAATCTAAAACGAGGAAATACGTATACTTTATACATAAATAAACAAGTACAAATGTAGAATTATAATTCGCAGTGAAATACGTATATTTACATATTTTATTATTAAATGTTTATATGGAGAATCCATATAAACATTTAATAATAAAATACACAAACACCTGCTTTATAATATTTGTTTGCTTTGTAATTTTTTAGCATTATTAAAGAATGTTGGTAATTGACGCAGACTTAAATTAATTATTACTTAAAAACCGGTTCATACAAAAAATATTTCAACAATCATTCGCATGTCGACTCCATGGTATTTTGTTACCGTAAAGTAGGCCGTTTACACATTGACTATATAAATATGAAATGCAAGTTCAAGGTGTTCTCATTGTAACATAGGAAGTACTAATCATAACATCCGTGATTCACAAGTGATAATTTAATTAACAGGTCTAAATTGATGTAATCAATGGAAGCCGTTAGACTATTCCTGCTTAAGGTAACGATTCTTATTTTTCAACAACAGACTTCAAAAAAGGAGAAGGTTCTCAATTCGACTGTTTTTTTTAATGTGTGTTACGTCAGATTTTTTTCCTTGGTGAAATTATGGATTTCATGGTGGTCGGTGAATTTTTTGGGTGATTTCTTTCTTCTAGGAGGATTGTGTCTGTCTATTATTAAAACTATGCTTTATGTGGGGTCATAGATCGGTATCATATGCCGGAATAACAGAGAATATTTCCAAGAATACGTTAGAATTAATTATACATTGTCTTGTAAACCATTATGTGAATTATATAAAAAATCTTCATTAGCTTGCATACAATCATCTATTCGTATTCGTAGTGTATATTTTTAAATGTACTAGCAAGGCCGACGAATCTTTGTCCTTTAAAAATACTTAAATTCGTAATGAAAATATTGGGAGTTACTTTTTGGGATTAAAACTATTCAATTTTTGTTGTTGGGGTATTGGGAGCAAGTAATACACATTTAAAAATATCTTTCATGTCGTTTTCGGAGATTAGCGTGAACGAATATCCTGACACGTGATTTTTATAAAATAAGATTTTTGTTTTGAGCAAGCAGTATCTACATAAATATATAAGTAGGTATAAGCTTTCATTGGTCCTAGGTCACTTGTGTACGATGTACAAGTGGTTTTTAAGAAATTCGTAGGCGTTCTCTATATTATATTCGGATAAGAAAAGCTTCGGAAAGCAGAAACGTATTATCCAGGCAGTCCTTACAATAAGTCAAAAGCTTTGCTTGTTCTAAAATTTTAAAATAGTTAATTATGTTTATTTTATAGAATAAGGGTGCCAAACGAGCCCATAGTTCACCTGATGGTAAATGGATGCTGTGGACCATAGACATCTACATCTATCCTCGATAAAGTTTAAAAATGCAAGTGCGTTGTCACCCTTGAAGAATACGATGACATGCCTCGTTTCCAGTAAAAAGGGTCTCCGGTTCTCTACACTCACCATACGAAACACACAGCGCGACGTAGTATTCTGTGAGAGCGTGGTCTTTCCCCGGTCAAGCCGACCATTCGTACTGCAACTATAATATATACTGTAACAATAGTATATATTATAGTGGTAGAACTACGCTGCAGCTATATTGTTACAGTATATATACATTATTACAGTATAATAAATATATTGAATAACAATTGTCAAATAACTATTAGACGCAAATACGACAAATACGACAAGCCACGCAGAAAGTTCTGCGAAAAAAAAGCTTAATTCTATGAGACACTGGTCATTCAAAATGAATAGCAGCATTAAGTTGCTATTTAACGCTGGTATTATCCTTCCCCGGTCAAGCCGACTCATTCGTACTACAACTATGCTTTTTAACAACCACCCAGTAAGCTTAAAAATCTTGTCTTAAAAGTGGTTCACGACCCCCGATAACAAAGCTTCTCAGTGTTTAAGCATCAGGATACCGCCCTTTCAGCACTTTGTCTAATAACGTAGCCAAATTTAATTTTATTTTAATTGAGTTTTTATTTATTACAGGTAATCCTCACGGCGATCTTATTTAACATCTTTGTAGCTACGAATGCAAACACATTAATACATAATAACATTCCATCATCCAGTGCTAGCGATGTACGCCATAGAACGCACTTTGAACATCATTCTAATAGATTAAAACAGTTGAGGAGCTCCAGAAATTTTCAAGAAAAAAACTGGTCTTCTAAAGCCTCAAACTACAATGCACTCAATAGTTTACCACCTTACCTTGTCTATAATAGAAAATTGGGGTCGTACTATCCCTATTACCCTAAACAGAACAGCATCCGAAGAAATATGGTGAAAAATAGGTCAAGGCAGCAGAAGTGGAATCATTAATTTATGAAGTTATTGTAATATAATAATAATATTTTATTTTTAAGTAGAAATAAATTAGCAAGAGTGACAAAGAAAATTTATGGTGCAGAAGTGAATGGCAGAGTCGGAAAGGGACGTCCTAGGCGAAAATTTATCGACCAAATTGGCGATTTATTGAAAACGGGCCAAATTAGGAGTACCCTTAACCGACGAGCATGTATGCGTAGGTGTATGGATGTGAAGGAGGCAAGAGATCGTGCCAAATGGAAGTCTGTAGTCTCTGCCTACCCCTCTGGGTGACAGGCGTGAGTGTTTATGTATGTATGTATTATGAATAAATTATTTAAATAAATGTTTAAAAATCTTATCCACAACTTTGAAAATGGAAAGTTAATAGGTAACATAATTACAAATTCTTATATATAATATGTAAACTACATTTTTACCATGTGTATATTATCATATTTTGAAAAATGTAGTTTCAAAATTGTGTTGCAAGAGTGTATTTAGAAGTTAATTATAACCTGTGTTATCTATCTATCTATCTATGTGATAGATAGATAACACTTTATTGTACGCCATAAAAAGAAAACATAAATATTAACAAAACACGAGAAAAAAGAAATGTGGTCCAATGGACGGCCTTATCACTAAGAGCGATCTCTTTCGATAACCTGTGGATGGACAGGATTGTAAGAAAACAATAAAAACTGTGTGAGGTTTGGCGACAAAATTAACATTATTTTTATTATAAGCCATAAAATAGTAATAAAAATGCATAATATAAAATGGTATATAAGTAAGGTCAGGTGGGGTAAGAGGAACATACTTTATTTTTAGTAAAATGTTTTCACTGCTAGGAAGAACAGGTAAAGTCTTTTAAGATCTTTGAAACAAACTTGCCTTTATGTATTAGCTTCAAATCGGCTAAATGTCATTACGCTATTATTAGTTCTTACGACATTGACGTAAATGTCAAAATTAAATAAACGTTTCTCCTCTCCGTAATAGGGACAGTTATTGTATTTCTTAAGATTGGAGTTTAAATTAGAATATTCTCTGCAAAATATTCGTTAATTTGTAGGTAGAACTGTTTCGGTCAAAATTAGATCTTACAATCGATGAAATAAGGTATCTTCGGAATGAAAAAGAAGAATAAATCAATTCGGGGTAAGAGGGACATACAGGTTCGATCAGGGGTGGCAAAATCATAACTCATCATACAAACGGTAATATATCTCACTAACTAGTTTTCCCTAGTTAGTTACTCTCTAAAAATAACAATGGCACTTTGGATTTTAAACCATTGCGGTCGTATACACGGTTAATTATTATAGAAGCTTATAAATTATAGAAGCCTATGGCACTGATATATTACATTTTTTTATTTTGCTTTAACATATTATGAAATTGATCTATCAATAAATACTACTGATTGGTTACGTATTATTTTAATTTTGATAATTTTCAATTTATTTATTTATTTAGTTTTAAATTTTTGTTTTTATTTTTTCGGTACCAAAAGTTTATTTCAAGTTAGTAGTATTTATTGATAGATCAATTTCATATTACGTTAATGTAAAAGAAAAAATATTGTCAAATATAAGTGCCATAGGCTTCTATTCCATTTACCTGTTACACCCTATATTTTCCAGATAGTAAAAAACTCATCCAGTATATATAAAAGTACAAAAATATATATTTCAAAACTATATACTTCAAATAACATAAATGTGCAATAAATATAAACAAATAGTGTTTCTTAAAAACTTCAACATAATAACCAATTATCTCTTTATATAAAAATCGATTGCTGTCGTTAGTTCTACATAAACTCCGAAGATGGGTGAACCGATTTTGATGAAATACTTTATGTGTGGGGTGGCACTGTTGTCGAGTTCCAGAAATCACCCGTGCGAAACAGGGACACTAACAGGCGAATCGCTAGTATTTAGTGTAGTGGCGGAAGAGAATCCACTACCCATTATCATGCCGTGGTTGTCGTAAGAGGCGACTGACGGAAATCAAACCGGTGATGAGCAGCAGCATCTTCCCGATATGAACTGATAACAATAACTAAAAACAAACTGCGGTTGGCAATCCGCCAGTATAACGTGGTAGCTGTGGCAAATATCGCTTCTGTTAGGCAATATAGGCGGAGAGATTTATTATGTTCAACAGAGGAGTTTTGACCGTAATGGTAATCAACGAATGAATAAATAATGGACCTTCATCATCATATTTATCATCATCAGCCGACAAAATTCCTTTTTTGGACAACGACATTTTTCAATCTAAGTAGGATACCATAATCGTCTTACACACAATATCGCAATAACGTCTAGGACCTTTATCGCTGCTTCCCGCCGACGGTGGATAGTAATCACATCCACTTTGCAACCTTTTTAGGTGAAAATAAATTTAATTCAAAGTGATCCGCTTAAAAATGCCTTTACAATATAAAATCGATTAAGCGATCTTATCGTCTATATCCTTTCGTATTTAAGGGATATTAATGTCAGTTCCGAGTGCAAGCAATTTCATCTTGATATTTATTTAATAAACTAACTGACAAGCGATGTTCAACATAGGGCTGAAGCAAATAAAAATCTAAAAATATTATTTTTCAGTAAACGAACGAATTTTAAATAAATTTAAAATTTTAATTTGAATAATTTTATATGTTCATTAAAATATATATGAGTCAGACACTTAACAAAGGAGCACAAAAACTGTACAAAATAAAAACAATTTGTAGTACTAAGTTTCTGCTTTGAAGCTGTTTTGGCCATTAATAAAAGTGATAAAATCACCTAGTAATCCAATAAGTTTTATATTTTTGATGTTCCGCTAAAAATATAGCTGTGTGTATTTTTGCTTGGCTTAGTTTTGCTAGCTGTGTGTATTTATTTCGGCTTGGGAGCTGAAGATGCCGCCACAGCCGTAGTCGCAGTCAAGGATGAGTTAGTAGGAACACTACCAGCTGCATCAGGAAAAGTGATCACCTCAGCCACGGTGTAAACCCCGTGCTTCGTGCCATCGGACCTAAGCACCACAACATATCCACCTCGTGACCAACATTGGTATACACCAAAACGCTTCCGAACAGCTATATTATTATTCATTTTAACTACACGTGTGTCGCTACTATATGCACATTTGTTCATCGTTGGACCTTGGACCTTCGACAAGCGAGATTCAAAGATGATTAAATTTTTTATAGGATAAGGGTGACAAACGAGCTCACAGTCCAACTGATGGTAAGTGGATGCTGTAGCCCATAGACATCTACATTAAACCTCGATTAACCTGTCACCTTTGTCACCCTTAAGAACTAAGATGGAATACCTCGATTTCAGTAAAACGGGTCTCCCGTTCACACTTACCATACGTAACACAGCTGCATTAAGCTGCTATTTTACGCTGGTATTCTGTGAGAGCGTAGATCCCCGGTCGAGCTTACCCATTCATACCACAACAATATAGCTGCAGCGTGGCTCTACGCCGTATAAATATAGGATACTCAACAAAACTAAATATGGATATTATTTGTGCATTTTTTATATGACCAAATGCCTACCTACCAACCTAAACTCCATGGTGTTCCATCTGCGCCTTAAATTGGCAGGGCCACTGGAATAGTGGTACATATTCGCAGCCCCATCTCGGGGAGGACTTCTCTCCCTTTCCTTTTTTAGGTGAGGCGCACCAGGTACGCCTTCCTCCGCGACCTCAACTCCACTAGTGCAACGGACAGCCCGGAATATATACTTATGTGATAGGATACATCGTATTATGTAGCTATACGATAGCTATACGATACTATTTTGGCAGACCTGCTATTAATGAATAACTAGCACAAACATTGACCTCACTTATAACAGTTTCCTAATAAATTTAATTAATACTAAAAACCGTAAATCTAAAAATATATAAACCTGTGAATTGTAAGTATTTATTAAAGCATAGTACCGAAATTTCTAACGGATTCTGTCATTCAACAAAATTTAAATAAGAGCCACGTATATACTTGTGGCAGCGCTGTCGACGCGCCACAAACGAAATACACCGAAGCCTAAATCACGCTATCAACATTCCGAATCATAAACAGTATATATAGAACATCTCCGAACTATCACAGGGAGTGTTGGCCGCTTCCCGGGCAGAAAACCTTGCCCGGCGGGAGATCTCCCCTTTTCCTTCCACGGCCGCAGTGGTGACCCCGACATGATCTGAACACGCAACTAACAACCTTTGGAAACTTCAAGCTTCATCATCTTCATAGAATACCCCACCTATTCGCTCCTGAGCAGATATCGTCTGCAGTCTTCATTTCCTGCAAGCCATCTAGCTTCACAAGGTTCATCGCAGCACTGGAATAATAATGCTTCCTGTTCCTTCAAGCTACTCTCTGCGCTACAGTGTTCGGCACGGCTCTGAGCGTTACTGCTCGCATCTGCTTCACGGCACTCTCTTACTTGCCTTTTTCTCAACTCACCGCAGACTACAAGGCAATCTCCTGGCACTTGCACATTCGTCGACAACGAGACTTCACTATCGACCTCCGGTCTGAGCAGGGGGTGATGTGGCGGCGCTGTCGTCGCGCCACAAGCAAAATAAACCGAAGCCTAAATCACGCTATCAACATTCCTATGCTATGAGCATTCACCGCCTCCCTCCCCCCGCTTTCCGGAGGGTTTCCCATATTTGCTTCGGGCGCAAAAAAAACTATCACAAGGAGTGTTGGCCGCTCCCCGGCCAGAACACCTTGCCCGGCGGGAGATCTCCCCTTTTCCTTCCACGGCCACATACAATATCTAAATGGTGGCGTTCACCGTAAAATTTAATAGTACAAAAGCTTAATGGATTTAGGATTTCGGCTCCAATTAAATTTAAGGTAAATTGCAACTTTAAGGGCTGATTTTCTACTTAACGAAGAAGAAAAAAAATCGGAATATTTCAAGGATTATTTGCATGAAGATTTTCATAGCAGCCTACCCAAGGTTTAGTGTTTAAGACAG